ATTATCTAGACTTTTCAACACTGATCTGATGTCTATACAAATTTATTTCCTTTTAAATAATCTTAGCTCTCTCCTTTTCTCTTTCCTGCTTTATCTACTTTTATAATATGCTCAAATAAGATATGAAACACTATAAAATAGGGCGTGATAAATTCCTGTTAGAACACTGTATGAGATAAAACAAGAGAACAAAAATGTAGAAGGTAGGGTTTTGGCAATGTACATTCTTGTCTGACAATACAGGACAAAATATTTGGCTCCAGTTCCTGAAAGTTATAATCTGGAAAGTGACTTGAGAGGTGATTCATTGAAGCTAACTTTTCAATTTTAGTCTGAGTATTCCCATCTTGGCATGAAACCTGCGTCACTTGGGCAAGTCCTGCAGCCCCTTTAGGAGATTGTATATGCAATCCTAACCTTAGGATAACCTTAAAATAACCTTAGGAATGGGAAATTAAAGAAATCGAAACCCCCATATAGTATCAGCTCCATAAAACCAACACTCTCCATGTCAAATGATAAGACATTCCTGTGGTTAATAAGCCCCAGCTATGCAAATCACAGGACTCGAATGAAGAAAATGGGCACAGACTGGAGCACCTTGGACTTGGGACTCTGCAGACTGGGGTTATGGCCCCAAGTGTGTGGCCTGCCTCTCTAGGTAACTGAGGAACCTTGTTCATCTCAGTTTACTGCTTAGGAGAAGTCAGATGATAATAGCCATTTGGGTTCACATTCAGAGTTTCTAAAAAGAATCCTTGAAAAGATGTGCATCTCAGAGGAAGAGTCTGTATATATATGCCCTAATAGAATAATATTAATTCATATTTTGGTATTTTCTTAATATGTTACCATCCTTAATGACATTTTTATGGCTAGAGTTATAACTTACAAGTGCTGCTCATAACATACAGTGTGTGATCTTTGAAGAGAAGAGCTGACTTAAGCATGGTTTGTTGCAAAGGAAGCTTGAACTGGATCTAATTGAATCAAGAGTGAAGTGAAGATTATGACCACATGTTTGGTCACGAATCCTAGGTTCTCTGGTCAGTGTTAATTTTCCTCTACTTGTTTACACTTCATGGTTATGAACCTGGACGCAGAGGCTCTTTGTTAAGGAGAAAACCCACACCTAGTTATAAAAGATTATTTAGCAAGCTAATGGTTCATTAATTGGAGGAAGTAGAAGGTTTCTGTTGCCCCAGACTTTTTTGGAAAAAATTAAAACCTACAAAAAAAATTGTAAGAGTAGTAACATGAGAACCCAAACTGCCCTCAGCTAGATTCACCAATTATTGACTGAGGCATCTGAGAGTTGCAGACATGTAGGTACTTTGGCCCTATTGCTTTGGCATTCATCTCCTAAATTATTGCCAGTACCATCACCACACCTATGAAAATTAACATCAATAATTCATTTCAATACCACCTACATGTGGTCTGTATTTACATTTCTTTAACTGTCCCCAATTGCATCTTTTTTCCCAACCTAGGATCCAATGGAGGGTCACACGTTATGTTTGGTTGTGGCATGTATTTTGTCTCTTAATCCCAGGCTGAGTGAATATCGTAATCCCCAATAGCTTTTCACCTAGAAGTTTTAGCACCCATTACTGATCCTTGCCTCAACCAAATATTACACTGGCCTTACAAAAATGATTGTTTTATGATTCTATCACTTTATCTGTATTCAGTAGCTTACATTCTCTCATAAAGAAGCATTTTCCCTCTTTCTCCTTGTCTTTCAGTATCACTATGGACTCATGGATATTTTGGGGAGTGGAAATTACAATCTATTACTATTATTCTTTTTGATGGCCAAGTTGTCCCAAATTTGACAGTGAACCTCCTACATGCTACATCCTCTGTGTGTGTGTGTGTGTGTGTTTTACATGACTCCATTAGTATTTTGTGGGTTTATTTTGCTAATTTTTAAGAAAGACTATTATAGTAATTTTCGGTTCACAACAAAATTGAGAGGAAGGTGTAGAGAGTTCCTATATAATCTCTACCCCCTGTCCCCAACATGCTTAGCCTCCTCCATTATCAACTTGTTCCACCAGAGGCTATATTTATTACATATGATGAACCTAAATTGGTACATTCTTATCGCCCAAGGTTCATAGTTTACCTTAGGGTTCACTCTTGGTGTTTTATATTCTGTGGTTTTGGACAAATGTATTCATCATTGTAATAGAGTATTTTTCTTTTAGAGAAGGAGAGCGTGTGAGGAAGAAGAGAGGGAGAAAGAGAGAATAAGGGAGAATCTTAAGCAGGCTCCATGCCCAGCACAGAGCCTGATGCAGGGCTTCATCTCACAACCGTGAAATCATGACCTGAGCTGAAATCAAGAGTTGGACACTTAACCGACTGAGCCACTCAGGCACCCCTCATACAGAGTATTTTTATTGCCCTAACAATGCTCTGTGTTCTGTCTACTCAGCACCCCCTCCCCCCTCTTCTTGGCAACCACTGATCTTTGTACTGTCTCCATAGTTTTGCCATTTTCAGTATGTCATATACTTGGGATCATACAGTATATAGTCAGATTGGCTTCTTTCACTTACCAATATGACATTTAAGTTTGTTCTATGTCTTTTCATGGCTTGATAGCTCATTTCTTATTAGTACTAAATAATATTCAGTTGTCTGAATGTACCATAGTTTAACTATCCATTCACCTACTGAAGGACATCTTGGTTGCTTTCAAGTTCTGGCAATAAATAAAGCTGCTATAAGCATCCATGTGCAGATTTTTATGTGGATGTAACTTTTCAACTCATTTGGATAAATACTGAGTACTGTGATAGCTGGATCATATGGTAGGAGTATGTTTAGTTTTGTAAGAAATTGCCAAACTGTCTTCTAAAGTGGCTGCACCATTTTGCATTCCCATCATGAATGAATGAAAGTTCCTGTTGTTCCACAGCCTTGCCAACACTTGGTGTTGTCAGTGTTCTGGATTTTCACCATTCTCATAGGTATGTAGTGGTAACTCCCTATTGTCTTAATTTGTGTTTTCCTGATGACATATGATGGGGAGCATCTTTCATGTGCTTATTTACAATCTGTATATTTTCTTTGGTAAGATGTGTCTGTTAAGGTCTTTGGGACATTTTTTCATCCAGGTTGTTTTCTTATGGTTGAGTTTCAAGAATTTTTTGTATATTTTGGAGAAGAGTACTTCAATATGTGTTCACATATAAATATATACATATATGTATTTTGTCCTTTGTAGTGAAAGTGAATATAGATAAAACTTTTATTAAAAGTTTGACCACTGGGGCGCCTGGGTGGCTCAGTCTTTGGGCGTCTGCCTTCGGCTCTGGTCATGGTCCCCGGGTCCTGGGATGGAGCCCTGTGTGGGGCTCTCTACTTGGCGGGAAGCCTGCTTCTCCCTCTCCCACTCCCCGGCTTGTGTTCTCTCTCTCGCTGTGTTTCTCTCTGTCAAATAAATAAATAAAATCTAAAAAATAAGTTTGGCCACTACTATGCCAGCATAAATGAACCCAATTGTGCCAGAGAATATGGAAGAGAAAGCTTGTGCTTTCCCTTAGGTGTAAGAGGAGCATACAGTTTATTGTACTTATGGCTGTATAAACATTTTTTTCCATTGCATTCTAACCTCATTAAAAATTACAAAAGCAGAAGGAGGTGCAGGCTGCACTATGGGGTATTTATAGGTCAGAAGAATTGTTCAAATTGATCTTTATTTAGTGGTCCCTAAACAATACGGTGGTTACCAAAAGAGGTACCCTCCTGGGACTTACAATTACCACATTATACAGCTGCTGTGTGGATGGCAAGAGAAAGTGGAAGATGATAGTTGAATAGCCACCCTTACATCTTTGATGGAAGGCTCATGACCATTAAGAAGCTCTTTGCATTGGTTTGCCCATAAATAACACTGCACAGTTCAATTTGAAATTTCAAATTGACCCAACTCACACCCTTCTGCATCTGGAACAGTAATAATAATCCTGGCAGGTTGCAGAGTTCTCTTTATTTTTCACTCTGAGCCCAGAACACCCACTACTCCAGGACAGAAATTCAAGGCTCTGCAGTCAGTTCAGCTCAGCTTTCAGCCCTAGGACAGCAAGCTTACCATGCATCCAAGACAAGATGGACTGAACACCTTCCTCTCTGCAGGGACAAAAGGGCAGCAGAACTTCTGGACCAACAATCAATAATCAGGTTGGTTCCCTCATTCCTCAAGCCACAGCCTGTGGAGGTGAGAGTCAGGAAGGCGACAGGATGAATGGGCGGGGGAGTCAGGCTGGGGAAGGGAAGGGACATTTGTCCCTTTTTAGTAGGAACTCTCAGCCCCTATTAGCTGGGAGACCTGGGGCAGGTTACTTAGCTTCTCTTAAGCCTCTGGGGCAATCTCAAAGGAATGTTGAGGGTCTAATGGCAAAATGTGGCTAAACGTCTTGGTTCAGACACTGGCTCTTGAGAAGCCTTTAATGAATAGCCGCTACATTATTTCTGTGGCCGTTGCCATTGTCATTATTGTTTTGTACTTGTAATCACCACCACCACTACTATCAAGGACTTCACCTCCACCAGCAGCCCCACCTTCCAGCCTGACAGCTTCAGGCCCAAGTGATTCATTTATTCCCAGGATAGCCCTCAAAGCAACACTTTCCGGGGTGACTACTCAGAAGGCAGAAAATCCCCTCTGGAAACCCTTCTCTCTTTCTTTCCCTCCTTCCACCCTTCCCCCTCTGCCTCTCTATCAAACCCGCTCTGGTTCTCTGGAGTTCAGACTCGCGCCCCTGGACCCAGCTCAGCTCCACCGCCCCGGGTCGCCCTCACACGTGCGGGCGCCTTCCTGCACGCCGCTGCCCCCTGGCGGACGAGGTCGTTAGCGCCCTGGCCCCGGAGTTTCAGCGCTCCCTTTCTGCCAGGAGGCTGCGGGCGGACCCTCCCTAGGCTGGCCACCGCCTTCGCCAGCTCGCGCGCCTGCCCCGCTCGCGCTTCTCACAGGCTTGCCACATCCCTCTGCCTCCCACCCGAGGGACCATGTCGCGGCTCAGCTGGGGTTACGGCGAACACAACGGTGAGCGCTTTCTGCAGATCCGAGGGAGGGCTTTGCCCAGGGGGTGGCTGTGGGGGACAGACCCACACACTGCTGATCCTGCACTTGCGAGAAACTTTTTGGTTCCTCTTTAAATTGGGCAGCTTTCCCCAGAGCTGAATGCAGGAAGTGGAGGGAAGGCTTAGTCTTGTGTAGACGGGAAAAGCGTTATTTGGAGGGTGTTGGTCGTGGGGCTGAGAGTTGGTGTGCGTTAGCCCTGTGAAGACTCCCAGACCCCGAAATCTTCGTTACATGTCCATTCACTTTCTTTGAAAAGCCGAGGACTTTCCGTAGTAACAACTACTTATCAGTTAAAGACACGGAGATTAGAAGTCTGATGACATACTTTAATGAATTGAGGACAAGTTCACTATTCACTTGGAGGAAACAAGTCATGGAAAACATTTGAAGCTATACTTAAATTTTAATAATTGAATTGCAACCCTGAAGATTTAAGTTGCCTTCTTGGCAACCAAAATACTGCAATTTTCTTAATAGCTGTTACTATGAAATATTGCCATGGCAGTTTGGTACTGTTAGCTTTAGGAAGATTTAAGTTCTTTCTTAAAAAAAAATGAAGTTATACTTTGGGCTACTTCTTCACTCTTTCTCCCTTTCCCACACTCATCCTTGCAGAGACAGAGGATTATTCAAATTTTAGCACGTTGGTGAACATGTATTTATTGATGGCAGTGTCAGTAATAATAAGATGTATACTTCTTCTATATACTAAATCATCAAAATAACCATTATTTGAAATAACTGCAAGAAAAAAGCAAGAAAGTCTGACAGTGACTCACTGTCAAAATTAGATCTGTGAATCATAACAATAATAATAATACTTTCTTGGATTAATATATATATTATTGAACAGTACCCTACAGTCAAATTTTACAGAAAAGCTTCTTTTCTAATTGTAGCCTTTTTGAAGTTATGATTAACTTGCTAGTTTAAAAATGGCAGCAGGTGAAATTTAGAACTTTAATAATAAAAGGTATAATTTAGGTGAATTTCTTTCTGACTGAAACTATAATTATAATCTCACACTTTTGCTACTTTCCAATTTATGTTTGGGAAAAAACACAAAACAAATTTCTTTTAATTTCCCGCTCTGCTGGAATAATTTTAATTTTTGTTATTTAATAGTTACTGGGTATCGACAGTGCCCTCATTATAGTTAGGAAGAAGAAGGGTATTTTCAATCAATGAGTACTAAGTACTCTTTACTACGTTTATATGTTAGAAAATAGTGGCTCCAATGGAGCTCATCTTCAGAAATTTAAAAAATCTACCTCTGAAAAGCCACTACCAAAGAGAGATTTTGTATTTCTGCTAAGAATTTATAGGGCCATTTCCTGCTTTTAGATAGCTTTCTGAGGACCGTGCCTGTAGGTAGATCAACTGTGCCAGAATCCTACTGGAAATATGTTGAATCCTGACTGGGCAAGTTTGGTTGCTTGTTTTCTGTTTAGACTAACAGAAGCAGTGAATGAGCAGATAAAAGGAAACTTAAACTGGGTATAGTAACGATGATAAAATGGAACACCAAGAGTTGAGGCATTGGAGGGGGGACCACCTTCACCAAAAACATTTAAGTTCTTGCATTAACCTGTGATAGTTTTATTTGTTCAGTTTAGGGAATGTGACACTTACTGAAAACTACATGTCTCTATAGATATTCAAAAGTTCTTGAATCAATGGAAGATTCACTATATATCTCTACTTAAGAACTATGTTTGAATGGGTTTAAAGTTGGATGTTTTGGAAAATTTTTTAAAAAGGGGCCTCTTTAAGAGGCAGGGAAATGAACCCACTATGGTGGTTAATAAATGATACTGAATAATTTATGCAAAGTGGGATTATTTTTATTTTATTTTGGATTGCCTCTACTTTTAAAAATTATTCTTGTTATAAAAGACTGGAAATAGGAGAGTAAAGGAATTAGGAAGAGAAAGAAAAAGTCAACAACATTCTGTGATATATGCATCACATATTCAAACTAATTCTCATCAGGTTAGGTCATACTTGGCGACAGTGAGATAGGAAACTTTTTTCACTTAAAGCAAGGACTAGATTGTGCAGAGAAAGAGTACTAGAAAGGTAAACTGGAGTAGTCAGTAAATCAGGAAATGTAATGCATTTTCTGTAATAAGTTGTAGGCAAGAACTTTTGATGTTCAAGTTGCTTTGAAGTCCAAAGTGTCAGATTCGCAAGAGAAGAGCTTTTAAATTGTGTGTGTGGTTGTTATATATTCATGCTCTGACTTTTTGTACCTGAAGCATATGTGAAGGAAAGAGCTTAAGCTTTCTCCTTTGCAAAATTGAAGAGTAATAAGGAGCATTAAATTTAGAGATTGAAGCTGTTGATAATTGCGATGCATTTTTGAAATTTCATTCTAAATCTTATCTTTAAAAATATTTGTTATTGTCAGTAACAAATGTTTAATTGTCATGCTGTGTCATTTTATTAAGTACTTGAATGTTACAAGTTAGTGAAATAGGGAAAAGCTTAGTCAGTAGCCCTGTGCTCTACCGCCCTGGTGGTAGCTGTGTAAATTGCAGGCATAGTAGACATAATTGAGTAGTCCCTATAGGTTAGAGGTTCCCTGAAGCTGCAATCTTGCTCTTGGTTTTGGAAGGCAGAACGTGAATCAAGTCTCCCAGAGAAATGAAGAGTCGGGACAAGGGAATTGCCCACTTACTGGTTCATGTCAATTTACCAAACATGTGTCCAACTTGGGAACTAGATGCAATTTTGACTTTTTGAATAGAGGATCAGGATGACAGTTGTCTCTTGTGTTGGAATTCAAGTGTAACACTGGCAAAATAACCACAGAAGGACCTTCTGAAATGTAGAAAGAAAGAAGGAAATTGTTACCTGACTCCTCTGAAGATAATCAACAATATTACATTTCCTGACATGGTGCAGCCATTTTATTTAGATTATGCTGTGTGAAAAACTTATGTATTTCCTTAGTATGCCTGTTGCACATCAGAGGTAACTGAGTTGAGGCCTGGGTGACGCCTGAAGACACCAGTGAGTGATAGAAGAAAGAAATAGGGATAGCATTTTTAAGAACTGCACCCTTTTTTTGCTACACAGCTTTCTTAGTTCCATTAATTCTTTCATCCCATGAACTTGTTGACTGCTGGAGCTACCACAGATCATTCTTGGACCTGAGACTAAATCTCATTGTTTTCAGTGATGAATTGTGCTGTTGTTTGTAGTTTGGTAGAAAGGTACCTTTGGAAAGTACTTTTTTTTTCCTCTAAAGATGTATTTATTTTAGAGAGAGAGAGAGCAAAAGAGAGCACATGTGCGTGGGGGTGGGGGAGCTGCAGAGGGAGAGAATCTCAAGCAGACTCCCCGCTGAGCAGGGAGCCCAACAGACATGGGGCTCAATCTCATGAGCCATGAGATCATGACCAATGAGATCATGACCTGAGCCAAAACCAAGAGTCGGACACTTAACCAACTGAGCCACCCAGGCACCCCTAGAAAGTACTTTTTAAAACTTACATGCTTTTTTGGGCCCCTGGGTGGCTCAATTGGTTAAGCGACTGCCTTCGGCTCAGGTCATGGTCCCAGGGTCCTGGGATCAAGCCCCGCATCGGGCTCCCTGCTCGGCGGGAAGCCTGCTTCTCCCTCTCCCACTCCCCCTGCTTGTGTTCCCTCTCTTGCTGTGTCTCTCTCTGTCAAATAAATAAATAAAATCTTTAAAAAAAATAAAACTTCCATGCTTTTTCTCCTTAAGGGTTAGTTGAATGCTGCAAATGAATTAAGGCAAACCAGGAGGTTTTCATACCCATAATAAAAACAACTAGTCTTGTAAAAAAAATTAGATGTAAAGGTCCTGAAGATGAAGATCTTACTCGGTTTTCCTTTAACTCAAGCACAGTGCATTTGTTTGGTAAAGGAAATAACTTATTTAGTCCTTTTCTTTGGGTCCTATATATTTAAGGTCCTATTCATTGGAATAAATTTTTCCCTATTGCTGATGGGGATCAGCAATCTCCGATTGAGATTAAAACCGAAGAAGTGAAATATGACTCTTCCCTGCGACCTCTTAGTATCAAGTATGATGCAAACTCAGCCAAAATCATCAGTAATAGTGGCCATTCCTTCAGCGTTGACTTTGATGACACAGAGGACAAATCAGGTTGGTTCTTTTTTTTTGGTGGGGCATGAGGGTCTTGGATGATTGGACTGTGATTTCTTATCTTTCATATTTAAAATACCTATGCATTGTGTGTTCCTTATCAATACTTTGCTAGAACTTGTAATAAAAATTTTTTGACTATTTCATGAGATAATGACTTTCACACTGTGAATGTCATGGACCAACCAAATAAAACTTTAGTTTATTGGTTAATTTGATAACTAAATGAAGTAGAAAAAGAGAATTTCCTTAAGATGAACATTTAATCCTTCTTCAAGCATATCTACTACCCAAGGAATGGATGATATCCAGTTTAAAGTTAAGATGAGAGAGAAGATTAGAGAGAATTGAATTTTGGAATACTTTTTTTTAAAGATTTTATTTTATTTATTTGACAGAAGAGAGAAAGAGAGAGAGCACAAGGAGGAGCAGGGGGAGAAGCAGGCAGAGGGAGAAGCAGGCTCCCCGCTGAGCAAGGAGCCCCGTGTGGGACTTGATCCCAGGACCCTGGAGTCATGACCTGAGCTGAAGGCAGACGCTTAACCGACTGAGCCACCCAGGCGCCTGAATTTTGGAATACCTCTTAAGGCTTCTGACAAATTATTTTTATTTTTAGTCTAGTATTAGGATGTTGCTATATTCGCTCTATTAATGAAAAATATAGTTAAATTATAAAAATCCTAAATTGGAAGAAGGTTTTCACTTATTCATTAAGCTCAGATTTAGGTTAGTAATAATATACTGTATGTGACACTATGTTGTTAGCAAAAATTATAAGCCCACAAAACTTCTCATATTGTCAAATTCATAAAAGATGTATTTTCATCAGAGCATTGAGGAAAAATGCACAAAGAAAGATCAATACATGGTATTTTTAACTTTTGGGGGAAGAGGGGACCTTGCTTTTTATATACTATATTCAGTTGTCTTTTCTTCAAGCCCTCAGTTTTATGAATCTGTATTAATAGATATGGTTGGTGGGTACATTGTAAATAGTCCAAGGCTTCTGAGTATAAAGTTTATACCACCCATAATCATAGTTTGGTACTGTTTATATCTCAAACATAAAAACTTGAGGCTACCCACTCCTAGTTTTAGAATAAAAAGTGATTAAATGCACTTCACCTAAAACTTTAAGTTTTTTTTTTAAGATTTATTTATTTTAGAGAGAGGGAGAGAGAAAAAGAACACATGAATGAGGAGAAGGGCAGAGGGAGGAGAGAATCTCAAGCAGACTCCCTGCTGAGCATGGAGCTTGATCTCAGGGCCCTGAGATCATGACCTCAGCCGAAACCAGGAGTCAGACACTTAACCGATTGAGCCACCCAGATGCCCCCAAACTTTTTTATTTATAAATGTGGGCAGCCTCAGTCATAAAAAATTCCTACTCTAATTTGCTTGATGATGATCTAGGTTTCCTCTCTCCCTCTCCCTTTTCCCTCTTCCTCTCATTTTCCCTCTACTTTGAGTTAACCCAGGGGAATCAGTTTGTCTGTGTTTCCAGATTTGACACTGTGTCTGTGATTGGTAGTGTGTGCCCTCTCCCCCATGTGAAGGTCTCTATCCTATCTAGATCACAGTGAAATTACCAGGGTTAATTGGAAATGTCTGTAAAGTACTTTGTACCCTCTGAGACAGAAACTACATAAATATGGGTCATGATCCTCATTCTTTTCTCTCAAGATAAATTAAAAGAGAATGTTTCATGGTGATTCTGGGTGTTAAATCAGTGAAAAAGTAGAAACCACTATAGTTAAAATAAATGGTTGGCTTTTCTTTTTCTTTGGTAAACTATAAAAAAACACAAAGATACTTTCTGTAGCAAACCACTTTGATTTGAAGAAGACAGTTTCCATTTTGTAAAGAAGCCATTCTTGACCAAAATTAACTCTGAATCCCACCAATCAAGAAAGCACAGGCATGAAACCTTCCTCATGGTCTTTGCAGGCCTTCTTTGTCTGGGAAGTTGCATTCCGTGTGGTTAACCACTGGTGCGTCACCCATAGGAATTTTAATAAACCTTTAAAAAGGTGGCAGGGGAGCCTGGGTGGCTCAGTCGGTTAAGCATCTGCCTTTGGCTCGGGTCATGATCCCAGGGTCCTGGGATGGAGCCTCACATCCGGCTCCCTGCTCAGCAGGGAGGCCGCTTCTTCCTCTCCCTCTGCCTGCCGCTCTGCCTGCTTTCGTGCTCTCTCTCTCTCTGTCAAATAAATAAAGTCTTTTAAAAAATAAATAAAATAAAAAGGGGGCAGGAGGATATGAAATATTGGGGGAAGAAGTCCTGTTGGCCGTGGTAGGGGAGAAATAATCTGATAAGGAAAGACAAGGGCATTCTCACCTTACCTTCTGGTCTTTTTGTACTCAGACAGGATCTCAGCTCTGGGAATCTCACCTGACTGGCCCCACAACTCCTCTGGTGGCACCCCAGGCTTGTCCTATGACAGAACTTCCCGTGCTGCACTGTAACTGCCAGTTGGTTCTCTTTCCACTCAGCTCAAGACTCCCTGTGGGCAATAGCTATGTCTTACTCATCTATCTAGCATGGTGCCTTGCACACAATAGGTACTCAATAAATGTGTGTTCCAGTTAAAAACATTTTTTTTTTTGGTATGATGCTTCCTGGAGGACCTAGAAAATTGATATGGCATTATGGTACAGGATACATTAGCCTACATAGGTGAAATCCCAATAAAATTACAAACCGCCAGAAGTCAATTCATATTTACCATTTGACACCTAAGTATTAGTGGATTATTCATTGTTTGAATGTTTAATTTTTAAAGGCTGTTGTTTTTATATTTTAATAAATGAGGGTTCCTGGCATAGAGTAAGTGCTTAATAAATATTAATAACTACTAATAATAAAGCATAATACATAACAGGCCTGTATCCTTACCATATACGAGGTATGTTGTGCTGCAATTTTTTAAAGATGTCAAAAGGAAGCTGGTTTCTCGTTAAGAAAGGCCTCCTAGGAACACCAGTGACTTGATGGATTCAGTGCTTACTCTTTAATTTTCATCTCTAGAAATTATTAATTTCTTAGTTACAATCTAGTTATCAAGTTTTAGTTATGTGGTTCTAGGTAACTACCTGAAATCAACCAAATTCACAAGATCTGAAGTTATACATTAGAAAAGAAAAAAAAAACCAAAAAGATATGGGGGAAGGATACCTTAGTTGTGTGATCCCTCCCAGAAGCCAAGATCTGCAGGAAACTGAATTGGTGATCTGTGACAATGTAGATATTACAAAGCCTTAGTGTAATGATGTTTCCCTCACTAGACTGTAAGTTCCTTGAGGATAGGGATGATCTTACTCAGCATCCCATACTTAGTATTGAACACAGTTGCAGGCCCATAGTAAGCTCTTCAGAATCGTTGAATGAGTGAGCAATGAGAGAGTAACATGGTGCGCATATGCTCAGAGCAAGAGAAGCCAGACTTAATGAAGACTTTCCTGGCTCCATAAAGAATTCAGGCCCCAGTGACCAGAAACATTGATGGCCTTGGTATCTCTCTCATAGTATAATCCTGGCAGATTTGTGCTGTTTGGTTCCTCTTTTCCTATATTCCAAGCAAGATACAGATGTGCTATTCACTTAGCTTTACTTCACAGAAATGTTTACCACACAGTGATTAGGCTATGACTTTCATTAGATTCACAGTCATAAGAACATGTTCTTTAGTGATTCCTAGGTCACTTACTCAGTAGCCACCTTATAAATCAAAGTTTATGGAGAAGTGCTTCTACAGATGAGGTCTTTTTCCTATTTTATGTTCATGGTATTTATCGCTGCAGACACTGTCGTAGGCACTAGAGATACAAGAGAACGAGACAGATTCTGCCTTAAAAGAGTTTGTATGCTGGTGGGATAGACAGTAAATACATGCGAAGATAAGTGTGTTAATTTTTAGACTTTTTTTCTGATTTTGTTGCAACCCTGCTTATCATTTAAGGCCACTGACGACAGTGTAGTTTCAGAAAATGAGTAGGATTAGCAAATTTCTAACAATCTAGAAACATTTCTAGTTTCACAACATTGTTGGTCTTTGTAGCATATAACAAATGACAAGGACCCTTTTACTAAGATATTAAAAATTTCCCAAATTTTTATGGCATTTAACTCTGGTTTATTAATCTCTGTAGACCTCTTATATGAGTGTTTTATTTGGAAGAGATTTAAGAAAAATTCTGAATGGAAGGATAAGTGGACTATACTTGTATACCAGGTGTGATTTTTGGAGAAATGATTATTCATTTTCAGATATAAGATGGAGACAATAATATTTATTTACTCATCTAGGTTGCAGAGGAAGATGAATGATTTGACACATGAAAACACTAAGTCATTCTCCTTAAAAATAACTTTTGTTACCATTATTCATTTTATACTACAGTTTCATTATTTTATTATAGACTATCTCAAAGTCAATGATAAATTAACCTTACTATTTTGACTAACTTTTCCCCACCTTGTGTTTCTTCAGAAGAGCTCTGCTCCAAGAGAATGTTTTCTTCACAAGTAGACATTTGCTGATCATGGTCCCAGTTTGGGTATTTTAGTGGAAACACTCAGATGTGGAGTCCAGATATGTAGAGTGTAAGGCAGTCTTTGTTGCTTAACTAGCAGATCTATGCTAATCTGGCTTTAAATCCTGGATTCTGAGTAGGCTTTCCAGAGATCAACCATTATTCTTGGATGTTTCCCTAACCATGTGTGTTTTTGGTATCGCTTTCTTTCTCTTGAGCCAGCTTGTTTGCATCTTCTCCCAAAGTTAATTCCACATTGATTACTCAAGCTCTCTAATCTGCTTTTTATGTTTTTTTTTTTAAAGATTTTATTTATTTGACAGAGAGAGACACAGCGAGAGAAGGAACACAAGCAGGGGGAGTGGGAGAGGGAGAAGCAGGCTTCCGTGGAGCAGGGAGCCCGATGCGGGGCTCGATCCCAGGACCCTGGGATCATGACCTGAGCAGAAGGCAGACGCTTAACGACTGAGCCACCCAGGCGCCCCTGCTTTTTATGTTTATATAAGGAATGACTTTATGTTTCAGCTCAGGTCTTATTATGCTACAGTAAGAAAAAAAAAAGGACAGAAGAATTGTTGATTTCTTTGGCAATTATCATATGATGTTATTCATATGTGGAATTTAAGAAACAAAACAGATGAACATAGGGGAAGGGAAGGAAAAACAAGATGAAAACAGAGAGGGGGCAAACCATAAAAGACTCTTAACTATAGAGAATAAACTGAGGGTTGCTGGAGGGAAGGAGAGGGGGGGAATGTGCTAAATGGATGATGGGCATTAAGGAAGGCACTTGCCATAATGACCACTGGGTGTTATATGTAACTTATATGTAAGTGGTGAATCACTAAATTCCACTCCTGAAACCAATACCGATTTCTTTTCATTTGTAATGCCATTGCATCCATGCTGTATGGAGTCACTTAGGGAAATGTGCCTTTTAAATTAATTTATCTGTGAATCATCTTTGAAACTGCTTGTTTAAAGACAGATCAAATTTTTATTCACTCATTCATCAAATATTTATCATGCATCTCCTCTGTGGTAGTTACTGTGCTTAGGTGATGCAACCAGCAGGGACCGAATCGGAGTCTCTGCTCTCATGAACACTGTTCAGTGGGAGTCTCAAAACACTAAAACTACTCTGTTTATAACAGTTTAACTAACAGAAGAGCAAGCCCTAGAATCTGATGTAAATGCTTCTTCTCTTTTATTTTTCAGAGGGCTTTGGAAATAGCTATCTTTATTTATTGTAAAGAAATCTGGATCCAAATGAATCTAAAGAAACCTCCAACCATTCGACCTCCCAAAAAGTTTTTATTGCAAAGGCTCAGTTTTTTTCCTTGGTAGTTTTGATAATTGTGGAAGTTCAAGAACACCCAGTCTAATCTCCTAATTAAAAATAGACAAACAAACACAAATATAGACAAGAAAGCTGATGCCCACAGAGGCTTCCGTGAGTTTTGGAAGATTACATAATTCAGTAGCTGAGCTGCGACTATTCCCAGGTTTGTTGATTCCAACCACACTAACTCTTAATCACTGATGCTCAACTTTAGCTGAGTAAAACTGAGTAAGGAAAGAATGAATTCAGTTGTACTGGTTAATACAACTGGATCATTTCTCTCCCTCAGTATAGCTCAACGAGGGGCATGCTTTAGGCAAGTGTATTTTCCATTTTTTTTTCCCTTGCTGTGTCTAGAAAACTGCATGTGATACACCTTAACATCTTTTGCTTCTGTAGGCTCCCTGTGGAACATAGGACTTGAACTCACGACCCTGAGATCAAGAGTCACATGCTCTACAGACTGAGCCAGCCAGGCACCCCATAACATCTTTTGCTTCTTATATAAGACAGATCATTCCTGACGGATTTTGAGATATCTCTATCTCTGCATCTCTCTTTACCTATCTGATATCTCTGAAGAGTAGGGTCATTTAAATCAAACTATTATTAAGGCTGCATCTCACAATCTAACACTTCCATTGGATGTTGATGGGAGATTAGTAATGCATAGGGCGTATTGAACATTCAGTGCTTTCTTATCCCCCCCCACCATATCCTTTAAACATGCCCAATAAAAATTAATTAGGAGGAGATGGTTTAGAGCTATGTTTTCTCTTAAGAAGCTCTACCATATACTTAAGATATGATTCTGTTGCCAAAAAAAGAGTTAATTTTGTCCTGTATTCCAGGTTTCCCTGGAAAGATAGAATTCAAGTACAAAAGATGTGCTTACTTGGCCAATTTTTGTAGTAATCCTAACAACAATAAAATAGTAATAATAGCTAACATGTTCAGCATGCTGATTGTGTGCCAGGCAGTGATAAGTTCTTTGTATTCAACTTTTCTTCTATTTTCAAAACAGTATCAGGAGGAGGGAGCATTACTATCTTGAGGCGACAGTCATAAACGCTAAAGCTTTGAAGTTAGAGTTGACGCAAGATCACACAGTAAGAGCACAAGCCTATGTCTTCTCAATGCTGGATGGAGCCTGTTCTCTAACCATAGTGCTGGGCTGCTCCACCAAGTTCAAGGTGGCCCTCCTTACATACCACATCCTTATTCAGAGAGGCTGGCATCCTCCAATAAACAGACCAATTCTTTGCTTTTAGGAACTCCTAATTTCTTCTGCTTTCTAACCCCTGTGTCTGTTGTGATTTCCCAGATATCCCATAAAAATCTGTATTGTGGACTCTCCAATGCTTTAAAATGTTTGTTTTCATCCCTCATATACCTAAAAATTGTATGCCTTTTTACAAACTGAATGACACATTTGTAAAAAATTCCTCGGAGGACATTGGCATGTTGAATAATTCGGGGAGATGATGTGGATTGTAGCAGCATGTGTAAATATTTTTTTTCTTGCTAACAATTTAAAATATGTTGGTGTTTAGTTCTGCGTGGGGGTCCTCTCTTTGGAAGCTACCGCTTGCGACAGTTTCACCTTCATTGGGGGTCTGCTGATGATCACGGCTCTGAACACGTGGTGGATGGAGTGAGATATGCTGCAGAGGTAAGCCATCGGACATATATTCGTGATTCAGTGGTTTCCTAGGTGGTGGGATTTGACTCTTGACTCCAAATTAATCCTGAGCAAATTAGGAATCAGTGTCTAAGATTGCTTTATTCCATCAATAGGAGAGTTTATCAGTATGAGAGCTATAAATATGGTCCTTCTGAGCCTTACACCAACTCTGAGAGCTTAGGGTTATCGTGCTCCTTCTGGAAATGAGTAAACTGCAGGTTTGGAGAGAGTAAGTAACTTATCCAATTAGGAAGCAGTTGAGATGGATTTAAACTCAGGTCTGTCTGATACCAAATTACAAACTCTTTCTAGAATATCTGTTGTGTTTCCTGAAAGTCCAGGAAGAAGGCAGAGAAAGAGACATTTGATTTGGGCCCAACTGTGGTCCAGACACAAGTGAATACTAATATCATATTTTGTAGAAGTGATAGTAAATGGTAAAGTTCCTTACAGGGAAAAGAAACAAAGACAAACTCTCCTAAACTCTGCATCACCTCTATATTTACAGGTATAAAAGGGAATCTCTGTTAATTATTGAAGTCATAACACAATAAAGCATTCATTGACTTTTTTTAATTGGGAAGTTACTCCTTTATAACTATATTCATTAATAATACCCTACTTTTTCTAATCCTCTGTTAAATGACAAAGCATAATATACTTCAAGTTTTAATACTGTTAAATATTGCTAACACCCAACTTTTCCATGAGATGAAAGTGAATTATTGTATGACGCAACCAAAGCTTTTTAAGTGACAGTAATTTGGCTTGTGAGTTTTCTAGGTGAAACAGCATTACCAGGCAAGTAAAGTTCTTTTTCATTTTCTCATGGTTACTGAGTTGTGGAATTTAGACACTCCTTTATAGTTCTGCTGTTCAGAGAAATCCAACCAAGAGAACTTTCCAGTTTTGCTCTTCCATTAACATGTACATCTATTCTTTGAGCCTATCAACCAAATCATCCATTTGTCTACTTAAAACACTTTTGTTTGAAGCCAAGTGCTTAGGGTATTTTCCTGTTTTCAGGATGGGGGAATAAAATGTATATTCAAAGTGTTCCATGGCACAGGATAAAAGATGCCAAGAATTAGAAAGTGGGACTCCTGAATCTGTATGGTGCCTCAGTTTATATCATCTGCTGAATAGTTTTCATGTTGCTTTCTAAAGTTTTGTGTTCTGAATTGAACACATTGTTCTAAATCTGGAAGGTTTTGTGGGGATTGAGCTGGTTTTGGATTATGGCTTTGTAATTTTCCTACGCAACTAAGAAAAATAGTTACATTGCTTTATGGTGATACTTTCTAGTGTCATAAACTTGAGAGTATACTTTCAGAGAAGTTTTATCTGAGCTGGCAAGTTGTTTCTTGAAAAGGGCACTCCTATCCTGAAATTTTCCAGAGGCTCAGAGTTCTGACCTGCAGAGCAAGAGACATCTTTATAGACTTTCCTTCTTGAAGTAGATAAAGCTTTGACTGAAGTTTCATACTTCAGTCAAATTATGAAACACATATTCTTTAATATGTGTTTAAGGCTTTTTCTTATTTTATTTATTTGTTCATGGATTCATTCACTCTTTAAGAATTCACTGTGACCCCCACTATGTTGCCCATCTTTGTCCAACTTACTCTTGCTCATCCTGAAGGGAGTGCTGGAAGGAAGTAAGGATGAGCCAGGGAATGTTTCCCTGTGAAGGGTCCCTCAACCCTAAACCTGAAGGATGAGCAGGAGTGAGCCAGGCAAAGGAGATAGCAGGGGCCCTGCATAGACTCATGTGTGAGGACTTGGGGTGGGAAAGCACGTCACATACTGGAAGAACAGAGTGGCCAGTGGGATTAGTGCATGAAGAACAAAGAGGAGAGATGCCAGAGGTAAAGTTGGAAAGGCTGGAGGGCCTGATTTTATGAAGATCAATCATGGTAAGGCTTGTGAACTTATTTCTGAGTGTGGTGGGAAGCCATTAACTGGCTTTTAATCGTGAAGTGATCATATTTGCATTTTAAAAAATATTCATGCTGCAGTTTGAGAATAAATTGGGTTGAAGCAGGAGTGAATAAGTGAGTCAGCGAGGAGGAGGATTTTGGGGAAGTTCCAGGTAATAGGTGATAGTGCAGTTAATTAGAGTGCTGCTAACCAGTGCAGTTTTGGTGGGATTTGTTGATTGATTTGGTTTTGGGGGGGGTGGGCGTTATTGTTTCTGGTTGGAGATAGGAATGAGGATGGAGAATGAGGAAGTCTGGGTCAGACCTCAGGCTTGGTGGGGTGTTAGAGGTAGACAATAAACACATAAATAAATGGTGTATGGTAAGTTCTTTGATAGGAACAATACCATGGGATCTGGTAGTGTGATTGAATAGTTAGGAAAACTCACCATGAGAAAATCTAGACAGCTTCTCAGCAAGTGGGCAGAGCAAATACAGATGACCTCAGGCAGAAATGAAGTTGGCATGTTTAAAAAGCGAAAGATGTCGCTTCTGGGATTAGAATTAATGAGGGAGAGGTTATGGGCTGTGTCCTAGGGAGGCAGGCAAGGACCATGCCTTGTCGGGCTTTGTAGGGCAAGGTGAGAAGTTTGGAATTTATCCTTGATGTATTGAGACAAAGACAATGGAAGATTTTGAGGAGGAGAATGTCATGTTCTACTTTATATTTTATAAAATATAACTAGCTGCTGTGTGTAAAAGGGGTTGGGCAAATGTGGAAACAGGGAGACAAATTAGAAGGTTATGGAAGTATTTCAAATGAGCAAGGATGGTGGTTTGGGCTATGGGGGTGGTGGAAATGAAGAGAATAGATGAATCCAGGATATGTTTGGGAAAGAAAATCAGTGGGACTTGCCAGTGAAAAGGGTGTCAAGATTGAAGGAAGAAGAAAGAGGAGTCTAGAAACACTCCTAAGACTTTGGCTTGTGCAAACATGAGGATCGTTCTGCCATTTACTCAGATGGGTAAGTCCAGGGAGGAGCAGGTTGCCTAGAGAAGTTGACACATTAAGTTTGTGCACACATTAAGTTTGAGGTGCCTATTAGATATTCTAGACTCACGTTCAAGAAGGCTGTTAGGTATACAGACCTGGAGTTTAAGGAAGACGTCCAGGCTGGACTGGAGGTATTTGGGAATCACTGACATTTGGTTTCAGGCTCAAAAGAATCCCTTTGTGCTCATCTGTAGAAATGATTCTTAGATTCGTTCTTCCAGCCACTTTTGTACCTAACTTCATGACTATCATCGAGTTGTACCCTCTTAGAAAATAAAAAGAAGAAAAGAAATGAAAGGAAAAAACCATTTAAAGTGTACCATGTAAAAACTTAATTTTGGGTCTAATCTGATGATTTGTGACATTATACAGAGAGATTAAACTGATCTAAATCATGGAAAACCTTATCCTAAGAGGTATGTATCTATAAAAAGTAGGCTAATAATCCACTCCATATTTAAAACTTCATCTGATTACAGTTTGTACAGATTATATAATAAGCATATTAAATATGTAGTTGATAGTAAAACTATAATTTTAACATTAACGGTGATTTTTGGCATGCTAAAATAATTTACATATCAATAGTATGCAGTTAAAAAGGCTAAAGTTGAATAATACTATTATTTAGAAATTATTGGGGTACCTGGGTGGCTCAGTGATTGAGGGTCAGACTCTTGATTTTGGCTCAGGGTCCTGGGATCGAGGCCTGCATCAGGCTCTGCCCTCAGCACCAAGTCTTCTTGAGATTCTCTCTCCCTCTCCCTTTGCCCCTCCCTGTGCTCATGCTCTCTCTCTCTCTCTCTCTCTCTCTCTCAAATAAATAAATAAATAAATAAATAAAATCTTTAAAAAAAAGAAATTATTTTCCAACAGGGAAGAAACTTCTCATTTCCATTTTTTTGTGGCTATGACTTCTTGTCATTTGCTTAAATCAATGAGGCTGTCATTGTTAGTCAGGAAATGTGAGTTTGTTATTTGTTTGTTTGAGTTTTAATTCAAATACAAATGCTGGGGCACCTGGGTAGCTCAGATGGTTAAGCGGTTGCCTTCAGTTCAGGTCATGATACCTCGGTCCTGGGATCGAGTCCCACAGTGGGCTCTCTGCTCAGCGGGGAGCCTGCTTCTCCCTCTCTCTCTGCGTGCCACTCCCCCTGGGAGTGGGGGAGTGAGAGTGCTTGTGCTCTCTCTCTGTGTCAAATAAATAAATAAAATCTTTAAAAAAAAACCCCAAAACTCCAAAAAACCAAATACAGACGCTAATACAAGTGATATCATTCCCTCTGAAGCTATTTGTGCCAGTTAGGCAAAATGTGTGGGAGAGAGAAAGACTTGTTTGGGGAAAAAAAAAATTTCTTGCTCTAGTTTCCCATAATATTCTAAATAGGTGCTGTTTTTTATTTATTTTTTTAACAATTTTATTTATTTGAGAGAGTGAGTAGGAGCACAAGTTGGGGGGAGGGGCAGAGGGAGAAGCACACTCTCTGCTGAGCAGGAAGCCCAATGCTGGGCTCGATCCCAGGACCCTGAGATCATGACCCGAGTTGAAGGCAGATGTTTAACCAACTGAGCCACCCAGGCACCCCTAAATAGTTGCTGTTTTTTAATCAGCAAAAGGATATAAGATTCATCTCTCTTTAGTTACATATTCATTTTCTAATCAGTTGTTGTGAACCTAAAGACATCATTTCACATCTTTTTATATCTTTGGTGTCATCTCTTACTAAGTGAGCTGATGGATTGGCATAGAGCCATTTAAAACAATTTTAATGTTCTTTTCAGCCCCTCCCTTAGAGTGGAATGTCTCTATCTCATGTAAGCCAAATGAATTTTGTTTCATCATCCAGTGTTTTCAAGGTTTCGTTCCTCCTCCAACTCTCTCACACCAACTTAGAACATGGCACCACAGGGATCCACCTTTGTATTTTCGGTCTGCATATCCCACAACTTTCCTTGATTGTTTATAGATGGTGGACTATTTTATAGTTTTGTAGCTCATGTATTTATAGTTGTGATAATTCTTATTTATTCAGAAATTCCCCCATATTAGTTGCCTATAAGATATGAAGTTATATTTAAAGCGTGGGATTAAACCCATGTCTTTGAACATACTCAGTTCTCTTTCAAGGGACAGCTAGGAAGGTGATTTGTGCATGAAACCCTTCATATGTGTTTCCGCCCTGAGATGCCAAAAGGATTCACTGAAAGGAGATTTAATCTGAAGTCAGTCCCTCATGCAGGGGTTCTTGGACAACATGGTGTCCTCACGATCTTGGCCAAATCGTTTGAGCATGGCATATTGCCCTTTGACGTCTATCTTAGTGTGTTCTTCCCCTTAATCAGGAATGAAGATCTCCCCAAGGTGGATTTCTGCCTTACTGTTATTTATAGTCTTTCACAGTTGTTTGTGTGTTTGGGATACTGTACTGTTTACAGTGGCAGAACATATAGGACTCGTTTGGTTTTTGCAGGAAGCCACTTGCAAGAGGGCAGTGTTGTGAGGTAGGTGTATTTTCTATTTTCTGGAGTTCCAGGTCCTCCAACTCCTTCCCTCTCCCCTTCTTTCCTTTCCCTTAACTCGGCACCAGCTGCCTCTCATTTCCATCCTCAGACATGTCTGGCTCCTAGTTCCTGTTCCTAGACAAAGCCTCTTTGTCCCCATTAAAACTTGCTATCAGCAAAGGATCTAAACATAATTATAGATGGTAATACATGTGTGAATACTGCTTCAAATAGTTCTGTTAAGGAGAATTTGCACTTTCAAGTCATAAAAAGTCTTCAAGTATAGTGGTGAACATCTGACTAGGCAGTTTCAGGAATAATTGGTACTGTCCTTAGCAGCAGAATCGTCACTGCAAACCCTTGGTTGACTTCTCTCCCTTCCTGTGAGCCTAAGCTTGTTTCTTGGACTCTGCTCCCAGCTGGGATCTGACCTGAGGCTGCTCTCTTGCAGTCCCACCCGTGGAAGGCTAAGAAGAAGCCTTAAGTCAGTCGCTCAGGAGCAATGGTTGGAGATTGCTCAGGCCAGAGGGGCTTGGCAGGATGCTTCAGAACATTCTAACTAGTGCTGTAGACCTTCCTATAGTATACCATAGACTGCAGTGGCCATGGTACATGTCTTTGGCTTTTGGACAACAGCAGATAGGTGGATTCTGTGAAGAATACATTACACACATGAGGGCACAGCCCAGGAACATTTATATAAATATTTTATTTTCATTTATGTTTTTAAGGATTTTTAAAAAATAACATTTGAATTATGTTGCATACCTCCCTTTCAGCTCCATGTTGTTCATTGGAATTCAGACAAATACCCCAGCTTTGTTGAGGCAGCTCATGAGCCAGATGGACTAGCTGTCTTGGGAGTATTTTTACAGGTGAGAATCCACTGATTTCATTTTAAATAATTCATCAGCCATGTTGGATAAAGAGTTTCAGTCATGGAAAGGATAGTCTACCATTTTTAATAGTAAACTCATTTTAAGTGTAATGTTTTCCTTTTGAAATTAATATTAAACATTTATGTATTAGTTTATGATTTATCTAATAGCCCAGAACTACCTTGGGAGTATTGTTTCACGTCTCCTCTTATTGTCCATTGATCATTTTTATGTGAACAGAAACGGCGGCAGCCGCAACAATAGTTGGAGTAACAGTTGAGATTCTGAGAAGAAAATCTTTATTCTGGGCTCTTCCTGATTACACGGTATTTAGAGATACAGGACAGAGTGAAGTTCACGTTCCTGATTCTTGAAGCACTAGTTTTACCACTGTGGTTTGTTGTCTCAAACACACTGACCAGTTTTTAAAAATTGTTGTTGTCTTTTCCTTTGTGTCATAGTCACATGTAGTGAAGCAAGTATCCTTGTTGTAATCCCTGTGGGTGGGTTGGGCTGCTCAGCTCCCACTGTGACAGCATTCTTGTAGGGCGGGCGCTTTTGCTCTGCCACCAGACTCTGCAGGAGATGTTGGAACTCGTTGGGGCTGGGACTGGAGGAGTACTGGGCAGAACGGAGGGTGGGATGAATGGTTTCGGCTCCTTCCCTTTGGCTGCCAAGTCCGCTGGTGGTCATGGAATGTGAGTGAGGCAAGAGATTGTACTTGAATCCTGAAGGACTTAAAACCTTAGGTAGAGTCAGCACATCCCTAATAATGAAAAGAGGTACATATATTTTTCTGATGACGATTTCTACTCATGATAACATATTGTCTTGGTGCAGGACCTCAAATCATTTTAGGTTGAAAGTGAGAGATTTTTTTTTCTTTTTCTTTTTCTTGTTTAAAGATTGTATTTATTTGAGAGAGTGAGTACAAGCAGGGGGAGGGGCATAGGGCGGGGAGCCTGCTGAGGAGGAAGCCCCATGTGGGACTCAGTCCCAGGACCCTGGGATCATGACCTGAGCCGAAGGCAGACACCTAAGGACCGAGCCACCCAGGTGTCCCTGGAGATATTTGCTTTTAATGCTTTGATGTCACAAGTGCCAGTTTGGATCTAGGGTCTGAAGGTCACATCTGGTTGAATAGTGCAAGTATTATGTTAGAGTTTCCTAAGGGAGTTTTCTCTTAAGTTAACCTGTATCTTAAACATTCATAAAATGGAAAAACTATGTAGCTGTTACTACTAGTTTTGGAATCAAGCTTAAAATTCAGCCAAGCAGCCTGCCACATTACCTTGTTCAGATTCTTCTGGCATGATAAAGCCAGCAGGTAAAAGACAGCTTCATTATAAAACAATCTCTGTTTGTTCTGGGCTGGGCATAGGTTTTAAAAAAAAAAAACAATTCAAAACCAGTGACTGAAATGGAGTGAACCAGACCTGTTCTGCTACAGTAACTATTTCTTTTGAAATTTCGTGCTTTCAGATTGGTGAACATAATTCTCAGCTGCAAAAGATTACTGACATTTTGGATTCTATTAAAGAAAAGGTAAAATGAAATATTATTTGCTAATGACTAAGGTATTCCTTGTTCTCTCCTGAAGTTTCTTACCTTCTTTTAATAACTTAAGCTTTAGATAGAGCATATGCTGTCTGCTTTGAAGCAGGGTTGGAACATACTTGACCAATAGAGCAGAATCAACCTATTGTCATTTGCCTTTTGAAAATGCTGAAGGGGGTCTTAAATTATCTAAAATCGTTACTAATAAATTTACGCATGATTAGTTTCTGGTATTGGAGTGTTGCACAATCAGCGTTTAATTGCAACACATTTTAAACAAATCTTGTGCTTCTTAAATAAATCTAGCTAATATGCTACCTCATCTAAAATTTTTAGATTAAGGCAGAAACTTTTTTTTTAAGATACAAAGGCAGATACTAAATAATTCCATGAGTTGAAGAGTTCCAGTAAAATAGTCTTTCATTGGATGCACGTGTTTTTGTTTTTGTTTTTGTTTTGAGGGTTCTGTAAAGCTCTCCCATTGTAATTTGTGGGAATTCTTTCTCCACCAGGGTAAACAAACGCGATTCACAAATTTTGACCCATTATCTCTGCTTCCTCCGTCCTGGGACTACTGGACATATCCTGGTTCCCTTACAGTCCCACCTCTTCTTGAGAGTGTCACATGGATCGTTTTAAAACAACCTATAAATATCAGCTCTCAACAGGTATGTCACTTCTTCAAGGTTGATCCTGATTTACTGGAGGAAACTGGACCAAAACTTAAAAAAAAAAAAAAGTCCTGCCCTTAATTTCTGGGGCACGATGAAGCCTGTGTTTTCCCTTCATTAATCAGATAGGTAGTTGGACTGGGTAAAACTTACGTCCCTTTCTTATTTGACCTTCTGTGATTAGATGATTTCTCTCCACGGTCTTTGAAACGTAATGTGCATACAGACACTGAGGGAAGTGACTTTAAAGGCTATAATTGTTTTCTTTTTTGGGCTGAGATATAAACAGGTTGGTATATAAACGGGAAAATCAGGAGAAGGGCTACTCTCAGAAGGGGACTTTCTTCTTTTTGACCTCAGTCCCTAGACCTGCTCCTCCTACAGATGATGTCGCAATCAGAAAGTGAGCAGTGACAACAACAATGGGTCTCTTCTCTTTTGTTGACAAAACTTTTGTGGGGCTGCTTGAGGGGCTTTAAGCATTTACTGAGATGCTGTTGGGTGCCTACCTGTGCTGTTTTAGTGAAGACATTTCCTCACTTGTTTTTCTGATTAACGTATTGAGTCTGCAAGCCGTCTGCAGGCTCAGGCTCTCTTTGATGCCCAGAAACTTGCCTTGGGTCTCTGACCTGTGTGACTGACCCATCTGACAGGTGGATGTGATGTCTTCTGTGGGTGCTGTGCTGAGCGGGTTTTCTTTGCTTCTTGTTTTCCTTTTTGAATTACTTGCTGCACAGTTTTAGCAAGAACATAGTCTAGTAATTTTTGCAGCTAATCAAGCACTTCTGTTCTGGGCTTGCCCACCTGCCTAGCTGTTTATTTTTTACCCCCAATCAAGGACTAGAGCTGGTTCACCTTTACCAAGGTCATATCAGGTAACATTTTCCCTTGGGGTGTTGAACACATCTGACTTTTGTTGGCCTTATCTTTAGGACTAAAGCCAAATAATAATCTGGGACATACTAATCAAAACATTTTATAAAAGTCTGGATTGAAGTCCAGAGCTTGACTGACATGGAAATTCCTGTGACTTTTCCCATCATAAATAAGATGCACTGTGTCATGAGAAAAAGGACCTGTCACTGATTCAGGGGCCTTACTAACCAAGTACATTTTCTTTCCCCCATGTGCTAAACTGTTCACTTTTACATTCCTTTGTTAAATTTGAACAAGATAAGGGTAAGAATTAATAAATTATAACAAGGTAGTAAGTAATAATAGGAGATCATGTTTTCCCTCCTATTTCAAGGATGTTTTCAATCCCTTAAAGTCACTTGGAAAATAACTTTTTAAAATCCACCTGCCATTTGGAAGAGACTATATCAAAATATATAATTTAGTTACTTAAAATACATAAAGCTCTTAATCAAAAATGACCCACTGTAAGTTTAGGAATTATGCCTACCTAGCTGTGGTTTCACTACTCTAATTTGAGGCTTACTTAATTAATATTAATTATTAATGTGGTTTTTATAAGGTAGAGTATATAAAATAATAACTATATTTTAGAGCTTTAGTGTGATTGATAATTCACTGTGATCTACTTAAATTCACTTACATCTACTCTAGCACGAATACTTTCAAACACTTTCATTTTTAAAAAATATTTTATTTATTTATTTGAGACAGAGAGAGCGAGAGAGCACAAGCAGGGGGGAGGGGCAGAGCGAGAGGGAGAAGCAGACTCTCCGCTGAGCAAGGAGTTGGACACAGCTCATCTCAGGACCCCAAAATCATGACCTGAGCCAGAGGCAGACGCTTAACCGACTGAGCCACCCAGGTGCCCCAGACATTCTCATTTTTAACCAGATGGAAATGATTATCTGAATAATAATATGAATCCAAATTATTCTAATATGATATTATGGTGATTTTAAGAGTTAAAAAATGAAGCAAAAGATATTTCAGAAGTCCAATCCCAGTCTAACCATGAGAAAAACATCAGACAAAGCCCAACTGGGGGACATTCTGCAAAATAGCCAATCAGTACTCCTCAAAACTGTCAAGGGTATCAAAAGCAAGATAAATCTGAGAAATTGTCATCATCAAGAAATGCTCAAGGAGCTATGACTACTAAGTTGTTTCCTGGTGGGATCCTGGAACAGAAAAAGACATTAGGTAAAAACAAAGGAAATCTGAATAAAGGATGGACTTCAGTTAATGATAACATATTAATACTGGTTCACCAATTGTGAAAAATGTACCATACTAATGTAAGATATTAATAATAGGGCACATTAAGCACATTATGAGAACTATTTGTACTAACTTTGCAATAATTCTGTAAATCTAGAACTGTTCTAAAATAAAAAGGTTAAGAAAATCCAAAACATGAGAGGGTCGAGATGATTATTCAGTTGCTTACCTCTTTTCTATAAAGTGAAATGAACATGTCTTTTGTGTATACCACTTACTTAAGAGTTACTTTCCAAAAGATAATTTCTAATCTCAATTTTGACAGCTCTTTATTTTTGAAGTCCCTGGGACACATTGTTTTATGTATTTTCCAATTCTACCATATAATGTCACGAGCTATGAAGATTAACTTCTTTTTTTAGTGCCATTTTTTTCTAGGTTTTTCTACTGCTATTTCTTGCCCAGTCACTATTTGACCAAAAGGGCAAACCAGATGTTTTTCATTTTCTTTTATTTGATTCAAGCCCATTTTTTTTTTGTCCCCAGAGTCACTTATTGAAATGCTTTACTTGACTGCCCGACCAGTAAACAGATATGCTGTTTTCAGATGGTTTTGATAGCAGATCTGTCATTCTCTTTGGAAGGCTAACTGTTCTGCCAAGTTTCTTTGGGCTATCCTAAATTATCTAAATTGGCTTGCTCATCTGCTGAATTCAATGTGCAGGATACTTGCTTTTGATTCTATGCTCTTTTTTAAAATATTCTCTTTGTCATTTGTTATGAGATTTCCATACAATGAAATTCACGAGTTTTAGTGTGCAGTTGATGATTTTTGTTGTTGTATATTACCATGCAGCAACCACTAGATCAAGATATAAAATAGATCCCTCGACCAAAAAATTTCCTTATGCTTCTTTGCACTCCACCTCCTTCCTCACCGATAGCCCTAGGCAGTCACTGAGATGTTGTCACCAGGATTCTGCCTTTTCTAGAATTTTATTTAAATGGAGTCATAACAGTATGTAGATTTTTGTGTTTGACTTTTACATAGCATAATGTTTTTGAGATTCACTGACAATTTTTGTTACTGAGTAATATTCTATGATATGGATATACCACCTTATTTTAAAATCTATTTACCAATTGATGGATATTTGGGTTGCTTCCAGTTTTGGGCTATTATGTCTTGGATAATAGCTGTATATATTTGGAAGTTAGGAATAATTGGCATATACATTTTTGTGTAGACACATATTTTCATGTTTTGTGAAGTTAGACATGACCTAGATTTACTAGGTCATGCAGTATCTTCATGTTTAATTGTATAAGGTACTGCTGTATTGGTTTTTAATGTGACTGTTCCATCTTTCATTCTCACCAGCAATATATGAGATTTCTACTTCCTCCACATCCTTGTCAACACTTGGTGTTGTCAGTCTTTTGAACTTTAGCCATTCTAGTGGGTATCTGTGATTTTTAAAATTTGCATTTGTCTGGTGACTAGTAATGTGGAACGTTTTTTCATGTGCTTGTTGGCTGTGTGTATATCTTCTTTTGTGAACGTCTGTTCAAATCATTTGCTCCTTTTTAATTTGGGTGTTTGTCTTTTTATTATTGAATTGCAAAGGTTCTATATACAATCAGCCCTTTTTAAAGTACATGTTTTGCAAAACTTTTCTCCCAGTCAACATGTTGGTTGCCTTTTTTTTTTAAACTCTGTCTTTTGAAGAGCAAAAGTTCTTAACCTTGATGTAGTCCATTTTTATCAGTTTACCCCTGGTTTGTGCTTTTGGTGTCCTGTTTAAGAAATCTTTGCCTAACTATATGCCACAAAATATTTTTTTCATACTTTAAGTAATGGTTGTAGCTCTCACATTTAAGTCTTTGATGACTTATGAGTTAACTTTTATGTATGCTGTGCCCCATTTTCTCTTTCCTTTCCTTCTAATATTTCAATTTCACATATATTTAAACTTTTAATATCATCTAACAGATCCCCAAGATGCTATTTAAAAATTTTTTTTTATTTAAATTCAATTTAATTAACATGCAGTGTATTATTAGTTTCAGAGGTAGAGTTTAGTGATTCATCAGTTGCATATAACACCCAGTGCTCATCACATCCTGTGTGTCCTCCTTAATGCCCATCACCCAGCTACCTCATCCCTCTGCCCACCTCCCCTCCAGCACCCCTTAGTTTGTTTCCTAGAGTTAAGAGTCTCTTATGGTTTGTCTTCCTCTCTGATTTCACCAAGACTATCTTTTTAGATAATTTTTTTTTAGTCTCTGTTCTTCACCATGGATAATTTCTGTTGATCTATATTCAAGTTCATTCGCTCTTTCCTCTGTCATGTCAATTTTACTCTAAAGTCTATCCAGGTAATTTTTTGTTTTAGCAATTCTATATTTTAGTTCTAAATTTTCAGCTTGGTTCTCTTTTATTATATCTATTTTTCTGCTGAGACTTCCCACTACTCTGCATTAAAGATGCTTTTTTTTAAAAATGTACAACCCTCAGGTAGTTAAAATAGTCATTTTAAAATCCATGTTAAAAAAAACCTTGTAAGTTCCTAGTTTGGTTCATCTTGGGTCAGACTCCCCTGATGTTTCTTTTTTTGAGAATGTGTTCCATTTTCTTGATTCTGTGTATGTTAAGTAATTTTTTATTGTATTCTAGATGTGATGAACATGAAGTTGTGCCAATTCTGGATTTGGTTATTTTTTTCTGATGAATATTATTTCCCTTGTGTGAGTAGGTAATTTTTTCTGGCAGGGCTCGAGCTCTCAATTTTCTTTCTTGTGCAGCAGCTCTGGTCTCAGTACAGTGTGTGTGGTTCTTAGGTATAGAGTTTGAGTATCCTCTCTCTGGCTCTGTCCTTGTAAGACCGGTGTGTTCCATTGCAGCTTTTTGTGCACCTTGCAGACTCTACTCAGCTTCAGGTGAGAAGCTGGAGAGATAGGAACTCACTTGTAGAGCTCCCAGCTCTCCTTGGTGTGAGAGAAGCACAGACTATCCACCTGAGTCCCTCTGCTTCTGTGCACTCTCCAGTACCTGTGGCTTGTTGCTTTTTGTATTCGTGTCTGGGTTTTAGAGTTGTTTTCCACAGGGAGGTTGTCTGTAGGGTCTTAGTCCAACAGATCTGGAAGCAACACCTAATGTCCTTTTAAAGTAGTAAAATGCTATATTATGTAATTAATGCTAATGACCTAGGAATACTCTTCTTCTGCATCTTTAGACTAAATATGAAATGGGGAAAGAATTCATTCACTTGAACATTAACTTTGACTTATGCCAAAAAACTCCATATAATTAGCTTTGACATTAAAGTTCTAAATGATAGGAGACAATCCAAGTCAGTTCTAGAATTGTTTAATAATTGCTGACTCTTGCAAGGCATAATGCAAAAGATACAAAGAAGTGTTAAAAATGTCCCTTGTCCTCAAGTAGTTTATAATCTAATAGACAAGATAAAATAAATGCATAAAAAATGGTAACACAGTGGCTGTGCTTGGTAGGTAAGAAAAATAAGGTGTAAAGGGAGTTTAAAAGGGGAGAGACTATTTTATTGGAGAAATCCGGAAAAGACTTCATGAAAGAGCTGATATCTGGGCTAGGAAAAGGGCGATGACTGGTCGGACGTAGTAAAGGAAAGGGAGCAGTTTCAAGAAGGAGCACCATAAGTAAAGGCAAGAAAAGGAGGTGCAGAAAATGTGGGCCCCTTTGTACCTAAGGTTCTCAAGCTTTAGTGTATACAACAATCACCTGGGGAAGCTTATCAAAATGGGAATCCTTGGGCGTTATCAGAAATTCTCATTCAGAAGGTCTGGGGTAGGGTTCAGTAACCTGAAGTTTTAAGAATCACCCCAAAGTCTCTTCATTCAGACGCTCTGGGGCCACCCTTCACAAACCTAGCTTCGAGTGGGCCCCGTGTGTGGCAGTGATCGGAGACGACCTAGTTAGTCGGGACCCGGTGGTCCCAAAGGCAGGCTAACTAGTTTGTTTTTGGGGCCTTATTAGAGTTAGAAATGTTACATATTTTAGAGACCGATTTTGAAATGTTTACACCTGAAATGACATGATATTCAGCATATGCCTCAAAATAATCTAGTTTGGGCAGGATGGAAGGTGGAAAGAGAAATGAGTGAGAGTGTGAATGAAATGAAATTGGCTGTGTGTTAGTGATGGATGACACTGGGTGCTGAGTTTGTAGTGATTTATGCTGCTGCTCTTTCTAGCTTTATGTATGTTTGGAAGTTTCTGTAATAAAAAGCTCATGAAAAGAGATTAGGGGAAAATAGAGAAAAAAAAAGTTAGAGATGCCATATAGTGCTGCGGTTAGTGCATGACTTATTTGCCAGATGGCTTATTTACGGAAACTTCCTAGCTGTCCCTCAAATTACCCCCATTGAAAATGGGGGTAAGAGGATATCATTGATTAAATGAGGTATGTATGTAGAGGACTTAGGGCAATACCTGGCCCACCATGTTCTGTAAGAGAGATTTTACTTTTATTATCATCCAGCTTGGGCAGGCGGTGGAGTGCTATTAGACATTTGAGCACCAGAGTGACATAAGTAAAACTATTTACAAAACATTAGAAAAGAATATTTCTGCTTACTGGGGTGGTTCTCTAAGGACATTAACATTTCAGTATCAGAGCCAAGAAAAACAGCAAAACAAGTCATACCCACCTCAGCCTTCAGGCTGATCTGGGGAGACTCCTGCCAGGACTCATGTAGATGGTATCAGCTTTCGTGACAGAGTGGCAGATTTTCTGTCTGCAAGAAGCCCAGGGGCCCAGAGAGTGATAAGATTGGTAAGGGCCAGTCAGGGGTGTGCATTTTGAGGTTAGTGCGGTGGTGGAGGACACCAGAGCCAAGAGAAGCAAATCTGAGCAGGGACTGGCAGATGCAGGGTTTACCTAGCTGGGCTGAGTGATTGGAAGGGAGACCCAGAGCCAGAAAGGGAAGGGGTTTGGTGGGACATCAGGGCAGGTTCAGTGAGTTTCACCAAAATGTGCAGGCAGGTCAAAAAATGATCTAGAGTAAATTCCAGTGAGGTTGAGGTATTACAGAGGCAGGGAGCCGTGACCAACTTGCAGAGGAGTCAGAGGAGGGTGGGAGGGGCGCCTGGGTGGCTCAGTCAGTTAAGTGGCTCAGGTCATGATCCCAGGGTCCTAGGATTGAGCCCCATCGGGCTCCCTGCTCAGTGAGGAGCCTGCTTCTCCCTCTGCCACACCCCCTGCTCCTGCTTTCTCTCTCTCAAATAAATAAATAAAATCTTAAAAAAAAATAGCCAAGGTCTTCAGAGGAATGGGCAGCTTCAATGGGAGGCAAGTCATGCTTGCTGAGGCCAGCGAGTTGGTGCCCTGATTCAGGCCTTGGGGTTCCTGCACAGCCAGCTGGAAAGGCCACTCCAGACAGACCTGGTCCCCCTGATCTGTGGAAGGCTGAGTGTTTTCCTTCGGGCTCCAGAGGTTAGATTTTATTTACCTCTGCTGCTTGACTTTACCAGAGAATTATTTAAATCTCATCTGGCTTTAGCTATAATCTGGTCTAATGAAATATGAGTAATAGTAAGTTGTAACTATTTGTCTTATCTTGCCCATATCGATACCCTTTAAAAGACCCCTCAAAGTATCACCTGTGGAAAGACATGGCTGCTTGTATGTGATACATGAACCTATCTCCATGGAGTGCGGTGACAAACTCTTGCCTAGGGAGGACCTCCATCACGTCTGCCTCCCATCCTGGCTAGTACTGTGCAAGAAATGTTTTAGGCTTCAACTAAATGATGATGACAGAAACTTAATAGATGTGTCCTAGTATGAGTTTTTAAAAAAAGATTTTATTTATTCATTTGAGAGAGAGAGAGAGCACAAGCAGGGGAGGGGCAGAGGGAGAAGCAGACTCCGCCTGAGTAGGGAGCCTGATGCAGGACTCTATCCCATTACCCTGGGATCATGATCTGAGCTGAAGGCAGACACTTAACCAACTGAGCCACCCAGGTGCCTCTATCCTAGTGTGAATTTGCTTGATTCTGCATTTAGGTGACTAGCTCAGCTTAGAGAATGGAGGTCTTTTTTTAAGATTTTTTTTTTTAATTTGTCAGAGAGAGAGAGAGAGAGAACAAGCAGGGAGAGCAGCAGGCAGAGGGAGAAGCAGGCTCCCCACTGAGCAAGGAGCCCGATGTGGGACTCGATCCCAGGACAGTGGGATCACGACCTGAGCTGAAGGCAGATGCTTAACCAACTGAGCCACCCAGGTGTCTCAAGAATGGAGGCTTTTATTCTCAATAATTTAATAATTTATCTTTGCTCAAATGAAATAGGAAAACAAACACCAGAAACCTACTTGAGTTAATTGGTAATAGATTTTTGGTGAATACTTTCAAGAAAGTAGAATTATTCAGCTAGTTTACCCAGTCTTCATTTTACTACTATAGACCAGCCTAAATCTTGATAAATAGTATTAAATCACCAAGGAATTGTTAAATAATTTATACAACATGCTTAGAGTAGAAAACTTCAGCAATTAAAAATAGTGGCATAGATTTATGTTTATTGACATGCAAAGATATATAGGATATGTATTAAGTACAAAAATAAGGTTTCAAAAGAGCATGACTGTTAAGCCTGTTTTTGTAATAAAACATGTTGTGTGTGTGCATGTGCGTTCATGGGTTTATGTATATAAAAATATATGTATATAACACTCCATAATGTTAACTGTGATTATATCTTGTGATGTGATTACTAGTAATTTCTATTTTCTTCTTGGTGCTTTGTGTGTTGTATGAAGTTTGTAAGGTAAGTCAACATTTTTCTGTAATAAGAAAAATTAAGCCCTTTTGGTGAGAAATATGCCTATATCACTGAAATTGTATTTAAACATTATCAGAGGTTGAAGGGCCCACGTGTTTACCATGGTTAGTTGTTTGCAAGGCTCAAGTATGGTGAGAGCAAAATTATTGTTTGAGGAAAACAGTACTTAAAATATCAAAATTCTACAGGATGAGCACCACAAGGTTGCCATGAAAATTGAGGCCGTGTTGTACTGGAGTACTGGTACGTGTTCAACGTGATTCCGAGAGTTACATTCCAATATTACCATTGAGAGCATATAATCCATTGCTTCACTTCCTAGATGGGGTAACTGAAGAGCAGTGCCCAAGGTCACCCATCTGGTCGGTGCCAGACCAAGGACTGGGACCTGTCCCTGAAAGCCAGTACAGTGATCTTTCCACTGTCCTATTCTGCCTTTGTAGGTGACATTCTCTGATTCCTAGATATGTCCTCTTTGAACCACATTCTAAATGTTGTTTCCTCATATTACTTTGATCCTCAGATAAAGAATCCTTATGTAGTTGATTTTTTGAACCCACAGGTATTTGTATAGTGGTGAGAAGTTAGCAGAAGTGGTGTTTTCTTATATATATGATTTAGGACACTTTTCCTGCAGTATTTTAGTCCCTGGTAGAGGAAAGGCTGTATGTCTCATAACTTTCTAGGAGGGCAGTTCACCAACATTGGTGTGACTTTCTGTGCTGAAGCCCACTCTGCTCTTTTCTTTCAACAGTTGGCCACATTCCGCACTCTGCTCTGCACGGCGGAGGGTGAAGCAGCGGCTTTTTTGTTGAGCAATCACCGCCCGCCACAGCCTCTGAAGGGCCGAAAAGTGAGAGCCTCCTTCCATTAAAAGTTGTCACCAGCGGACCACCCCAAACATGTCCGTGGAGAAAAAAACAAAACACAAAAATCCCTGCAAACAGCTCTTCCCTAGAATTCTGATTTGCGGGTACCATTTTGCTCTCAGCTTCAGCACCACAAAGAAGATCAGATCTCTGTAATCAAACTAACGTAACTCATCCATCTCAGATTTGCACTCACGGGTATTCAAGCAGTAAACAATTGTTTGACATGTGTTGAGACCCACAAAATGCATCTACTTCAACCTATGTGAAAACGTGGCAGGCATCGCAAAACTTCCGAATGCATTAAAAAGTATCCCTTGCCCTAGAGATTAAATCAGTCGTATCTCTCAGTAATGTTTAGTCAAAAAATTAAAATCTTTTCCAGAATGATAAGATTGTGATATCTTTTTCTACACAAGTGAGTCTGCTTAATGTCTTGATATTATTCCAATTCATTCCTTTTAAAGTGAATTTTTGTTTTGATTATGTTGTTGATCCCCATTGCACGGTACCTTTAATAAAATGAACGATATGGGCATTAAGGAGGGGTGGGGTATAACTATTCACTGTGTCCACTCCACAGCTCAAAATTAACCCATCCAATTTTGTTGGAAATTCCTCAGGGTATCAATGACTGTTTAATGAATTATGCCCTATATCACACTCATGCAGTAATGTTAATGATAAACAGGTTAATAATTGACTAGATGCCGTGCTTGCCAGTTTATTGACATGGTTTGAAACTAACAAATTGGAAGGTACCAGACCGGGGGTGCAGCCCAAGGACATGAGGAATAGGTTACTTTTCCCCTGTGTTTTGGCAACAGAGCAGGGAGCAATCCTGTGTAGGTCACTGTTCTGTCAAGTGGTGGAAAATATTTACTTGGGTCTCATATAAATACACAATCCATCCACAAACCCTCCAACCCATTTCCATGTCAAAGCCATCTCCCCTTTTATACATGTCCCTCAATCTCACAAGTAATTTTGTAAGCTGGCTCTTGATAATTCATTTTAACCTATTGTCTCATATATTTTTGTTTGTTTTCGATGAAGGCGGATGGTGAAGGTCCTTTTGCTCTCTCTGGTGCGAGTGACACTATTAACCACATTTAAGACTTGAACACATGGGACACTTCTGTCATCTGAGGGAAGTTTAGCTGAGTTTCCTTGATTTTGTTACTTTGTTTCAGACACCATTCCTCCTCTGGATGTAGATTTTGATAATTCAAATTATTCTGTCATAGTCTTCTTGAAAGGATAACTGAGTATCAGTAAATTGTATAATAATGCTGTACTTGGTTGCAGAAGGTAACTCCTTAAGTCTAATGCTGATACCTTGGTCATTTTTGTTTTCCCTTACAGCATCTAGCTTAAGCCTTGCAGGAGATTGCCATCTAGGAAATATTTAATGTAATTGAATGTTTTAAAATGTTTTTATTTGATATCTTTGGTGATTATCTTGCTGCTTGTGATTAAATGCACTATCAGTTAATGTAACAAGTAAAATATAAGTTATCTCTTAAAAATGGTTTCTTCTTAAAGGAATAATTGTTAAATCTACTGGTGTAACCAGATGTTTTAATGGTTTTAAAAATACCAGTGTTGGATGGAAAGGTGTTTCTTTACTTTGGAAAGGCATGTTGTAAAGTATCCTAGTAGGAGAAAGAGTCTGTTTCCTCAGGGAAAGTATGTTGTTCTGTTTGAAGGGGTGTGTAATGAGGATTCTAATTACTTTGCATGAGAGTTATTACTTTGTAATTTATGGTTTCTGCTACAGTATTGCATCAGTTCTGTGCTACAAATTGGACTTTAGTAGACTAAAAAAGTCTACATAGCACTGATTATCTTGAAGACTGTCTGTTAATTTATTTATCTCATGGGGTGAAAGGTCTAAGTGTATGCTGAAGTTCTTATCTCTTAAAAAGATTAAAGAGCGTAAATACTAGTACAGATCTCTTTTGTTTTCCCACATGTATTGGATTTATGTTCATTAAACATTTTGTATTTCAATTTAAGTTGGATTCAATCACAATAAGGAAAATGAGACAAACTTTGAACTGTATCAGGGACTCCTATATGCAAGACACAGAATGAGATTATATTTTTATACTTTTTATATAGAAAATAATCTCAAGCTCACAGAAAAAAATGTACACACAGTACATTTTTTTTTCTGAATTATTTGAGAGTAAGTTGCCAACCTACTGCTCCATCATCACACAAACTTTAGTATATATTTTCTACGAATGAGGACATTGTCCTACATAACTACAATATAGCTAAAACAACCATAGAAATAAAAGGCATCCAAATTGGCAAGGAAGAAACCAAACTTTCACTATTTGCAGATGACATGATACTCTATATTGAAATCCCAAAAGACTCCACCAAAAAATTCCTACAGCTAATACACGGACTCAGTAAAGTCACAGGAAACAAAATCAATGTACAGAAATCTGTTGCATTTTTATACACCAGTGATGAACCAGCAGAAAGAGAAATCAAGGAATTGATCCCGTTTACAATCACACTAAAAACCATAAGATACCTAGGAATAACCCTAAACAAAGAGGTAAAAGAGCTATACTCTGAAAACTATAAAACACTTATGGAAGAAATTGAAGATGACACAAAGAAATGGAAAAACATTCCATGCTAACGGATTGGAAGAACAAATATTGTTATGTCTATACTACCCAAAGCAATCTACACATTTACTGCAATCCCTATTGAAATACCACCAGCATTCTTCACAGAGCTAGAACAAATAACCCTAGAATCTGTACGGAACCACGCAGACTTCAAGTTATATCACAAAGCTGTAGTGATCAAGACAGTATGGTACTTACACAAAAACAGACACACAGATAAAAGAAACAGAATAGGAAATCCAAAAACGAACCCACATCTGTGTGGTCCATTAGTCTTTGACAAAGCAGGAAAAATAACCAATGGGAAAAAGACAGTTTCTTCAATAAATGCTGTTGGGAAAACTGGACAGCAACATGCAGAACGAAACTGGGCCACGTTTTTACGTCGTACACAAAAATAAATTCAGAATGGATGAAAAACCTAAATGTGAGACAGGGAAGCATCAAAATCCTAGAGGAGAACACAGGCAGTAACTTCTTTGACCTGTGCTGTAGCAACTTCTTACTAGACACATCTCCTGAGGCTAGGGAAACAAAAGCAAAAATGAACTATTGGGACCTCATCAAGACAAAAAGCTTCTGCACAGCAAAGGAAACAATCAGCAAAGCTAAAAGGCAACCTACGGAATGGGAGAAGATATTTGCACATGATATATCTGATAAAGGGTTAGTATCCAAAATCTATAAAGAACTTAATCAAACTCAACAACCCAAAAACAAGCCAGTTAAAAAATGGGCAGAACACATGAATAGACATTTTTCCAAAGAAGACACCCAGATGGCTAACAGACACATGAAAAAATGCTCAGCATCACTCATCATCAGGGAAATACAAATCAAAACCACGATGAGATATCATCTCACACTGGTCAGAATGGCTAAAATTAACAACACAGGAATCAAGAGGTGTTAGCAAGGACTTGGAGGAAGCAAAACTCTCTTATAATGCTGGTGGAAATGCAAACTGGTGCAGCCCACTTTGGAAAACAGTATGGAGGTCCTGTAAAAAGTTAAAAATAGAACTACCCTATGATACAGCAATTGCACTACTAACTATTTACCCAAAGGATACAAAAATACTAATTTGAAAGGTTACATGCACCCTGATGTTTATAGCAGCATTATCAACAATAGCCAATGATGGAAAGAGCCCAAATGTCCTCTGACTGATGAATGGTTAAAGAAGAGGTGGTATATATACACAATGGAATATTACTCAGCCATCAAAAAGAATGAAATCTTGCCATTTGCAATGACATGGATGGAGCTACCGAATATTATGCTAAGCAAAATAAATCAGAGAAAGACGAATACTATATGATTTTACTTATGTGGAATTTAAGAACAAAACAGATGAGCATATGGGAAAAAGAGGCAAACCATAAAACAGACTTAACTATAGAGAACAAACTGAGGTTGCTGGAAGATAGGAAGATGGGGGGGGAATGTGTTAAATGGCTGATGGGTATTAAGGAGGGCACTTGCACTAGCGCTGAGTGTTGTATGTAAGTGATGAACCACTAAATCCTACACTTGAAACTAGTATTACTCTGTAGGTTAATAAACTGGAATTGAAATAAAAACTTGAAGAAAAAAACAAAACAATACAAAACAAAACACCAACCATAAGATTCACATTGCTTTATTATTACCACCTAATCCATTTGAGAATAGCTTGTTCATGCTGTCATGTTTCCTTCAGTTGGGCACCATCCTTCAGTCTTTTGATTTCCATTACTTTAACATTTTTGAAGATTATAAGCCAGTTATTTTATAGAATGTCCCCCAATTTGGGTTTGTTCAAGGTTTCCTTGTGATTAGATTCAGGTTAAATACCACTGGCAGGAATATCACAAAAGCAATGCGGGATGCTTGGCTCTTCTCATTCCATTCTATCAGGCAACAAATTTTGATTTGTCCTCTTATGGAGAATAGTCACTTTCATCACTTGATTAAGACAGTGTCTGCTAGGCTTCTCCATTGCAAAATTACTCCTTTAGCCTTTGTAAATTAACAAATATTTGTGTGAGGATGTGCTCTGAGATCAGGTAAATACCCAGTTCCTTCTTAAATCTTTAATTAATCAATTTATTTCTAGCATGGATTTAGCAATTCCTAATTTATTCAGTGGGCTATAATCTGTTATTATCATTGTTGCTATTATCACTAATATCTCATTTATCTATTCTCATTCACATTTTTTCTTGATTTGGTCAGTAGGAGCACTTTCAGGATGACTTCTGTGTCCTTTTGACACGTCCCTGTTTCCTTACTTTCTGACAGCAGTTTGATATTCCTGGCTCATCTCAGTCTTTTCCTTCCCCGGTCCTGAGATCTACCATTTCTCCAAGGAACGCTGGCTTCTTTTAGTGGGGAATAGTATTGAGAAAACCAGTCTGGATACTAGATGATCTCATTGCTATTGGTGTGTTACTACTCCTAGATCCTCTCCATGGACATAAGTTGGGAATGTGAACACACACATATGCACACATACACACAAACATAATGTGTATATACAGGTTCAACACCTATATTTCTATATTTATCTATATCACACTCATATGTCCAATTTCAATCCAACACTGCAGGGTTCATTCTAGTTCTCCATTTCCATATATTTAAAAAAAACCTGACCCCAATGAATTAAGGTTCAATGTGTTTCTTCTTTCTGCAGCATAGTTTTCCATACTGGAAACATCAAATACTGTATTATTTACAACAGAAATTAAATGTATGCTGCCATACACTAACTCAAAACTTTTGATATTTTTATTAACTTGACTGATTACATTTTATGTGAATTAAGCTTTGACTTAAGCAGTTTACTGAATTGAGTTACTTGGAGATTTTTCTGGTGTGGCTAGAAACTCACCTCTACCTTCCTAGGGAGGAGTTATAACAAGCAGGGAAACCCTAGTTCCTGTCATCTCATTGTGTCTCAATGAGATCAGATGAACCAATGCTTGGAATTGATTATGCAGGCAAGAGATGATAGCGAAAGACCAAAAGGACAGCAAGGAGGCAACCTAGAAATTAGCAAGAGCAGGTTGCTCTTGCCTTCCTTAGAAGGAGGCAATATTCCTAGAGCTCAGGAGCCATGGCAACCCAGATGAAGCTGACACTAAAGTAGGTCTGACTAGCACAATCTAGTTAGTTTTTAGAAACACAGCCATTACCTGAGACCTGGTTTGAGGCAGAGAGAAGGGGAGAAATACTCTGGGTTCTCCTTTTGTTTTGTCCTCCAGATTCCATTAATGCCCATTGGTGGAACCTAGCCAGATGCCACATAATGTGAAAATATGAGAAATCCTCCCCTCTGCCATATAGAGCAGATTAGTGGAAAGGTCCAGGAATGGATCTAAGGAGAAATGGGCTTAAAACCAGCCAAGACACCAAGGGCTGGGATCTCTATTATGCACGTCAAGCAAACGACTGATGTTGGGCTGGAAGTCTCCAGAGATGGAAGACCTCTGTTAAACTTCTCTCCCACT